AACATTGTTCTACAGTGAGGCAGCAGGTTTTTGTTAGTGTTTCAGTTCGGGGAAAATGGGAATAGTTCATGGGTTTTGTGAAAAGCTCATGGAAAAAGGAAAGAAATATTAGGAGGCTAGAGAAGGGGCTTAATAACATAAGCATCCATAGTAAAAAATTTAAGAGAAAATTACTAGATTCAGATTTTTTATCATTGAGATCCGATTTAAGCTCACAGCAGGACTTGTTCAGACATAAACTGTTACCAGAATATGTGGGTTGAAGGCAATTGAAGAAAAGAGTTTTAAGCAATAGCAGTTGGGTGCAGATGATGAGATGAAAGATGAAAAAAAAATGTACTTGCCATGACTGTCAGCTGAGTGAGATGTGATGGTCTTAGATTTATAGATAGGAATAGAAGGAGTGTGATAGGCATTAGGATTTCTTATTCCCATGACTGCATGCCTGCTCCCAGGTACTCAAGGGAGATTGTGATTTGAAGAACAACTTAGGCCCAAATTTAATTTTGATAAAGGAAGAACTCTGAAGTCAATGAGACAAGCCTACAGAGGCTAGGAAAGTGAACGGAAAAAATTACTAGAGATTACTGGGTAGAAAATGCAAACTTGGATTTAATGTCATCTTTTAGATATGTTTGAACGTATATCAATTGCTACTGATCTTCTTTGAGGGTGTTTTTTAGTGAAGCCATCAAAAATAAGATTTTTTTTTGTACAATAATTAAGGATCTGAGCTCAGTGTTGTATCATGTTTTCACTGAAAGGAGATGGAGTACAGCACATGTATGGAGTGTGGCAACATGAGCTTCGAAGCAGTGGTTCAAAAGTACATCAGTTGCACAACACCAGGTATTGCTTTGTTTTGTGTTGGCTGTGAGGTGTGGAGGTACTGTTGGTAAGTATTACATTGCCATGTGGGCCTAGAACAACTAAATTAAATTTAGATGGGATTGCACAGAGCTAAGCCTGCACTCTATTAGGAAAACGTATAAATAACAGAGACACTATACGAATGAGAGAAATGTTGCAACACAGTTTATGGACTGGAGCCCCAGGCTTGATTTTGCCTTAGCTGAAAATTACGTAGGGAAATAAATCCCAGCAGGTTGCTTACCATGCACACACACATTTCACACATCAAACTACTAACCTGCTCCAAGGCTGCAGTCCTTGCTGTGATGTAGTTCAAATAACCCTGCCATGAAAACCTTCAGAATATGAAATCAGCCACTGGCCAAATCTTACTGAAGCTTTCTGAAGCTCATTTCAGACATGAAAAGTAACACAAAGTTACATGCTTAGGAACTTTGTCTGGTTGGAAAGAGTGCCCAAAGGGAAGGTGATATGAAGGGCTCAGAGAGAATAATCTCTGCTTTCTGTGGACTCTATAGACAGAAACCTGTTCTCTTAACTGTTACCTCTAATAGGAGTCAAATTCAAGAGAGTGAGCATAAAAGAAAATTAACATTCAAGAGATTTAAATTATATTGTAAGTTAATGATTTATTTCCTTTGGTTAAACTGTCCTAAGGCAGTGGGCCTTATTTTGTGGTTGTGGTTCCAGGAATAATAAATGTCTCAGTAATGTGCATGTGTACGTGGTTATGTGAGGCTTCACAAAACCTGCTTAACAGAAACAAAATATCTGAGGTGACCAGAGACAGAAGAGAGTTTGTTAGTGGGTTTTTTCATCTTTAAAGTATGGCCCGCCTTAATGAGATGTACTGACTGGCTGTTTATTCCTCTCCCTTCTCTTCTTGTTTATATTTACCTTTATTTATCTTGTCAAAATATCAAGAAATTTAGGTCAAAATATATCTGGATCCATCTGCTCATCTAGTCTGTTCTTTTACTGCTGGTAGTTATATCTTTTAATTAAGTATGCTTACTGACAGTTTACTACATTAATGAATGGCATCAAGTATCTTTAATTTCATACATGACGAATTTAGGAGGTTTTTTCCTTATTTCTATATAACAAAACAATGATGTAATCCATTTTACTTGTCAAATTGTAGTCTACATGTCTTATCTGTAACTTCTGTTTTAGTGTTGGTTTAGTTGGAATCTCAGTCAGGCTCTATAATTTAGCTGTCTTTAGCAGAGGTTCATTATTATCCCAGTCTTGTTGTGAATGCAGAAAATGTTTATTCATTGACATGGTGGTCCATTTCAGTTTTGAATTTTGTTAATTGTAGTTATTCTTTGGTGCTCTAAATCTTATGACTGACTTAGATAATTATGAAGTCCAGGACTGACCTTTCAATTTTAGGTTCATCAGGAACTTTGATTGTTTTTTAGTTTGTTTTTTTTTGTGGGGGGGAGTGTAATTAAGGAAGAGTGTTAGGAAATATTTTCAGTGTCAGATGTTTTAAGATTGACGATTTCTATCCCTTAACAGGAATAAACTCCCCAGCACTCTTGTACTTTTGTGATCTGTAAATATTCTGCAGTATTAACTGCGTGCACAGATTTACTGTTTACTAAGACATCTCTGCTTGGATCCCTGCTCTGATTATTTCTGTGCAAAGCTGCTGCAGTTGTAACTTTTGTAGCATGTTTTATGAGCCACCACGATACAATCACTTAGCGGTCTAAGAAGTGTACTGGCTTACATTGTTGTTTTCGATAAAAACTGTGACATTGCTCTAGATTACACTCATATGCGTGTGTAGCAATTTAGCAGAGAATCTCCAGTGAGATCACATATGCAGTGTGTGAACAAATGTGTAAGATTGTTTCCTGTATGTCTAGAAAAATAGCAGTGTATCTTATCTACAGTTGCCGCATCGGCAGCTTGGAGGAAAACTGTAGGAGGATATAGATTTTTAAAGGTTCCGTATCAAAGTGATGTACCTCACCAGCATGCTATCAATAGAACAAATAAAATCTATATGCCTACAAACAAAATATTATTTATATTTTTAAAATCTTTCTTAAATAGCAGTTCAGAACTACTTGGGATTAAAAGGTCTCATATCTGTGACCTGAAAATGGTGTTTGAGATCAAAAATAGGTAAAACAAGGAGAAGGGTTATTCTGCAGACTCAGATTTGTATAGCCTTTGTGCACAATACGTAAAACAGGATGGCTTTCTTGGAAACCTGAAGGGCAGAAGTGTATGTGGCTTTCTATGTGTGGAGCAGAAGCTTCAGAGAGGGAATGTTAGCTGAGCTGTGCAGCTATTTTTGAGGCCGTGGTGGCACAGTCAAGGTTTGTTCTTCCACTTTGCCTTCTTTCAGTGCTTTTATCGGCCAGAGATGTACAGCTGGCCTGGCACTGTTCTGCCTTTGAGCCAGACATACCTTGTGTGTGCCAGATCCAACCAAAGCCAGCTTCAGGACTAACAACAGTCTTTGGCTCTGCCATCTCCTAGAAAGTAGAAAAATTAGATTCGCGCCCTCTGTTCCCAGGGCTCTAACCCACACCCCTCAGGTCTTGTTTGGCCTTTTGAATCACAGTGCAGAAAGCAATGCAAGATTCATTGGGGCAGAGAAGGCTTAGTGTAGTGTCCCAGGATTGTATCTCTGAGTGAATTTCGAAGGCATATTGTGGAGTGGAAATGGGTGGAAATTCAACATTTTGTTCTCTTTTCAGGGTTAGTGTTATTTGGGAAAGTAAATCTAAAAAAGCCAAATAGTTGTATGATGTACCTACCATCTGTAAAGGGGCAGGGAGTGGGATCTAGAAATCTCTAATTGAGATGGAAGGAATATAATGACTGGACCACAGAACCAGTCTCTCACAGTCTCCGTGAGTCTAGCATTCCTTTCCGTGAACAGCATATGGATCATACTGCCTTTTTGTATTTTAAAGGAGAGTTAAGAGATTGTCTCATCCAGTTCCCTGGCAAAAGGCAAGTTTGGCAGCAGTAGTGTTACTTCTGGTAAAGGTTTGGCTGACTTGCTGTTGAGGATAGTCAGCAGTGAAGGATTCCCAGCCTTCCTGGATGGTCTAGGCTGTTCCTAGGCACCCTGCTTACCAGTAAGTGACTACCCTTTACCACTTACCAGTAAGTGATTGAACATCTTTTGAGTATCCATCTTTGGAATCTAAGCTTATTGGATCTTCTGTCAAAGCAGATGCAGAAAGGAGCTTATAGCCTCTCTTTCTCTTACAGTATGCTTTCACATTCTCAAAGGCATGACTGTTTTCTCTAAAATAAGTGATCACAGTCCAGTTCTTTATATTTGTTATTTTCTTTTATAGGTTTTGGTTTATTGGCTTGTTATTGTTCTCTCAGTCCAGTTGATTGTGGTTCTCTAAACACAGTGCTCAAAGCTGGACATTCTACTCAGTTTGTGACCAGATCAGAGCAGAGGATTATGGTCACATCTTACTAGTGATGCATTCATATATACACACTTGGATACTTTTTCCCAACAGTACCACGTTGCTGACTCACGTTGAGTTCATGATCATTATAACTGTCAAATCTCTTTCTGCAGATCTGCTGTTATGCTGATCTTTCCCCAGGTTTTGTTTATGCTGTTGATTATTCCCAGCTAATCTTAGAACTTTGCACTGGCAGCAGTTGTGCTTTGCAGCTGTCTCATTAGTCTTGTGCGCAGTCCTGGGTGTTGTGAATTATACCTGCATCTTTCACATCGTTGGGTATTTTCGTTACCAGTATTTCCCTGCTACTGGAATGAGTATAACAAATTTTTTGCATATATCCAGTTTGAGATGAACTTCTGATAAATATTAAATAGCCTTTTTAAACAGGTTTGGTGGGGTTTTTTTACCTAAATACCAACAGTTCTTGTTAAATCCTGTTTTCAGCTTGCTTGTGGGAATATCACGAGCATCAGTGTCAAAAGTTCTACCAAGATCATTATAAATAACTAGTAGGAACAAGACAGACGATGGTTTTTCAGCATCCACACATCTTACCAGCTATAGAGATAGTAAACTGCCACTACGTACATTCTGAATATTAGGGTTTATTTCCAAAAGATCTGCGTCCCATCTTTCTTCCATGGGAATTAACAGTGGAAATAGCAGATATCTCCATCCAAGTGGTGTCCCCTAGGTCTGCATGGGTGTTCTTTTGCTCATCAGCCTCGCCCAGGCAGTTTGGGCTGCTTAGCGTCTCTCAGTGAGCAGGAGGTGAGCAGGAGACACCAGGCCACTCTGCTGAGCAGCTCCAGACAAACCTTTTTGACCTGCGTGTAGTTGTGTTTCTGCTTCTGTTCATGTAAGCACAGTCTTAATTCAGTGACCACTGAATACTTCTATCTTTTGGGAGAAAATGGGAAAAAAATGGTCCCTTAAGACCTTTTTTATTATTTATCATTATTACTTTTAGAAAAGGGATAAAAGGCTAGGTAGTCCTAAAATAATTGACACCTTGTTTTACAGAAAACTACTGGTGTGGGGTGTTGCTTTTTTTTTTTTTTTTTGGTTTGGGGAAGAGTAGGGTGAGTTGTTTGGAAATGCTGAAGAAGCCAAGGAGAACAAATGGTGTTATTATAATAAATAAAACATGCATGCAAAACCTGTCTAACTTGGTCAGCCCACCAGACTTAGGCAGTCTCTTTTAAACATTATTTGTGGATGTTAACATCTGTTTAAATCAAGCGTGTGGGAGAAAAGCTGTTTTTTCTTAATGATTCAGCATGCCTCTTCTCAAGCTTAAGCTTTTTTTCCTGCTTTTCGTGACTGTTTTTTTCTTTATATGGGTTTATGTTACTTGACAGCAGTATTCAAGGTTGTCTCGCTTGCCTGTCTTCCTTTTAGGTAATTTGAAAGTGTATCATTGAAAAGCTGGCCTCGACAAATCAGTCGAGAGGTAGTAAGTGCCTTGCTGGCACACAGGGATCTCCTCGAAACATTGTCTATGGATCTGAGATATGCATTCACCTGAAAATAATCCCTGTATCAGCGTTAGCCTTTCTGTTCCGGCTTTGAAATCCACAATGGTTGCATAGAACCTGAAAACTCATACCCGTGGAAGTTCCTGTACCTTACTGGAAAAGTGTTGAAAGACAAAATGACTTTTGGCAAGTCTGCTGCAGGAAACCCATGCATAATTAGTGGAAGTGTCAGTCCGAATATGTTTCTACAAAATTAATTATTAATTGCCTATTAATTACCTATTAATTACTTAGATTGCATCTTCCTCTGTATTGTGATACAGAATTTTCTGCCAAAATAGAGACTTCCAAAACTTTAGATTTTAAAATATGGCTTTTGTTTTTTATCATACAGTATTTTGTATCTTCCTTGTATAACAAGCTTATGACTTTTCAGAAGTTCAGGAGTCTTTCACTAATTTATTTAGAAAGCTATATTAAAAACAAACAAACAAAAGAAAACAAGCAAACAAACAACAAAACCACAGCACAACTTAAATCTTATACCAGTTGATGAGACTACCTGTTATAACTCCATTTGGGTTTTGGAATAAGCATGAAAAGCTGAGAAAGTTTTCATTCTCTTATACCCATTATCTAAAGATTAGAGCAAATGCATGTACTTTCTCATAAAAAAAAAGTACAGGGTCACCAATTCTGACTCTTTGCATTTTCCATTAATTTGTCAGTTCTTTATCAGCTGCATCTTGCTGATAGAGTGGAAAGAAGGAGAGACTGAGATTAATTAAATCTTCTTTGATATTTAAGTTTTTATTTAGATCTTGGGGACCCAAGGAATAATCAATCAAAATCACTCCCTTCTGTCTATTCTCAGTGGAACCGTAATAATAACCAATTAATACAGCCCTAGCCTGGACAGAAAGGTGGTGATTAACCCCTACAAAAATTGATTGCAATTAGCAAATTTCTGGTGTAGCAGAAATCACCAGTTAAAGCCCTTTTGCAAAACAGGTTTAGGATTTAGCTTGCTCACAATATTGAAATACAGCAAAATTTTTACTTTGTTCAGGCCTTTTTTGACATGGACTAAGGAGTGAAGGCTTTTAGATACCTTGAACCTCATTTTTAAAATGACCTGCCATGGTCAAACTGATAATCTATCAGTTAGCTAAAATAATAATCTGTGTGCATTGCTTCCCATAATTTACTGTGGTTCCACTTCCTTTGAAGTATTACTGCCCTAAAATCAAAGCACACAGACACACACCATTGCAGTGTTTTAGAAATATACTGCGTTATTCTGGTGACACCAGGTGTTGAAAGTAAAAAATGTAATGCATTATGTATTCAGAAGCATGCCTTTATTAATTGATAGTTATCGTGGGGTGGATGGTGAGCTAGTGAAGGTTTGTAATTTGACAATAATTTGAGTTATCTATTTTGAAAGAAATATCATTTGCTGAAAGTCAGAAGTTACTTGATCTTTACCTATCTTTTTAAGCCATATCAAAAAGGCAAAATTAAAATGTTACATGGTTTCTCTTCAATGTTTTAAGTAATATACTGTTTCTTAATTTAGATCTGGTTCTCTAATTATATTATTTAATTTTTTTCAGTTAATTAGCATCACTCAGTAAGTGTTTGCTTAAAGAATGCAGAAGTGAAATTAACTGGGATTTCCAGATGTCCCTAGATACTATCAAATCTGGGAGAAACAATGTTCAGAATAATAATGTTATTCCTGTGTTTGGGGATTGGGAATTACTCGAGTCTGCTGTACAGCACAGTATTTGGCTGGGGGGAGTGGCACTGGGAGGGCAGTGATTGATTCGTTCAAGTTGAACAAGCTGAAATGTAACTTTCTATGACCAAGTTGGACTAAGCAGTTGTTTAATAAGGTTTTGTGAATTTTCAACGTTGTGTGAATAACGTTTACCTTTAATATTTTCAGGTAGCATCATTTTAAGTCCAAAAATACAGTATTTGGTTAATGTGTAAAATTATCCCTTCTTATTTCAACTTTTCACTGTCAAATGCATTTGATGTGTGTGTACCAGTGCTCACCCTCTTGAAACCCCTTGAGACTCCCAGGCCGTATTTGCTATGAGCCAGACACTTCAGTGGAAGCAGTCTGTTATTAAAAGTATGGTGCTGACTTCTCCATGGTGTTTACTGGAGGCTGTTGTCTTTAGTTGTGGCATAAAAATAAACTTGAAGTGGTGCTTGTAAATTTACTTTAGTAGGAGGAATGTTGCTGACAAGAAGAGCTGCCGGTTTTGTATTATATATCAGTTTGTGCTGAGAGGTGTATTTTGAAAATGTCTGTGGATCCCAATGCAAGAAGAAACTTTTCACTTAAAAAAGTAGAGAAGTCTTAGGACTTGCTGTTACTGTCGCACTTATCCCGTTCACTGACACTGAAATTGGAAGAAGTAATGCGTAAGTGAATTGGAGGATACTCTACCTACTACTGCATATTTAGAACTTACTTGAAAGGGTGGGATCCCAATAAAATGAAGCCTGTTGCAGCAGGTATGGATTGTTTCCTCATTTCCACAGCAAACCCTGGAACAGCATGAACATAAGTGATCCCTTGTCACTTGTGCCTCATGTCCCACGGTACAGACAGTGATGTGCCAGTTACCCTTTCCGTGCTGAGATCTGTGCATTGGCTTTGGTCTGCTTTGTTGACAACTCACGTAGCTGTGGTGTTTTCTCCTAATTTTGCCCCATGCTTGGGGAGTGCAAGGTTGCTGTTGTGGGGAGATACTAAAGCTAGTCAGAGGACATGCTAATTTATACATCAGGTTTAATCACCTTTGCTTGGGAGCTGTTACAGTCTTAGATTGGCTACATCTTAAGATGTAGCTTGAGGCATTCAGAACATTTTATACTGTTATATCACCTAATGCACACCTCTTTTCTCGACACAAAGTCTAGGTTGATGGATGCTCTTTGGGACACTTAAATGCTTTAAGATACGTGAGTTTCCTCTGATGTGCACCCAAAATAACTTGAAAGACTTATGTCTCTAGAATACTATTTTTATTTTTAAAAAAAAGTTCCTTTTCAGCTACTCTATGTGCTGTCACGATGCAGAAATGTATTGCAGATGGAAACCCCCCGGTGTGTAGAAGTAAAATCCTTCAATAAAGCTACTGGAGTGTGTCCAGAGCAGGGCGACCAAAGTGATGAAAGGCCTTGAGGGCAAGACTTACAAGAAGTGACTGAGACCACTTGGCTTGTTCAGCTTGGAGAAAGAGAAGGCTGAGGGGAGACCTCATAGCAGTCTGCAGCTTCCTCAAGAGAGGCCATGGAGGCAGAGGTGCCGGTCTCTCTGGTGACCAGCAATAGGACACGAGGAAATGGAATGAAGCTGCATCAGTGCAAGTTTAAATTGGACATTAGGAAAAGGTTTTTCACTGAGGGGGTGGTCAGTCACTGGAACAGGGTTCCTAGGGAAATGGTCTTGGCACCAGGCCTACCAGAGTTCAAGGAGCATCCGGACAATGCTCTATGTGATATGGGTTCATTTTAAGTAGTCCTGGGAGGAGTAAGGAGTTGGACTCCAAGAATTTAGAGATCCCTTCCAGCTTGAGAAATTCTGATTCCTTTATTGCCTTCAAGTGGTGAGTCCCCAGAAGTTCTTGTCTGTGGTCCCCAAGCAAATGTTTTTGCACTTTATATCATTAAAAGTCATCTTATTTTAATTACACAGTTCATAGGCCATCTAATATGTCTGCAGCATGAACCAATGCTCCTCTGGATGCATCACACACAGATGTGGTAGGCACACAGCAACTTGCTGTAGCAAGACCACTAATAAATAAAACAACATTGATTCCTGAGGAATATGACTGGTACCTTCTGTCTGTGCTTTTTAAATCTTATTTTAATATAGTTCCTTAAAATCCTCCCTTAACTAACTTCTTGTTTGTAGACAATTCTTCTCTGACTTGGTCTGGAGATCTTTTCACTGCATATTAAATAGTGGACTCCAAATCCATTGTGTTATCCCTGTCCAAGCAGGTGGTTTAATGACACTGGCCTGGCTTTTTTTGCATTCAGATTGCAAATTATTCCCCTTCTCATTTACTTCCAGTACTTAATTCTGTTCTTCTTCTTCCTTTATTAAGTTAGTAACAGAAATTCTTTCTCAAAGGTCACTGAAAAGAGGCTGCAGAGCATGTATAAAACTGTTTTCATTTATGTAATTTTTTTTTTTTTAATAAGTGGCTCATATAAATGTCTGTATAATTCAGATGATTATTATCTAATGTCTTCCTGTTACAGCCTAACCCCTGGTTTAAGATGTCTTTCATTAAAGCTTCCTTCCAGGCATCCTGGACACTGCTAAGGAGAGCTTGAATTAGAGTAAATT